GGGATTAAATTTTTCTACAGTAAATCAATTCTCATTTTCAACCACACATTCTTCAATAAAATAATATTTTCCATCACATCAATAATTATTTCTTCTTTTTCAACTACACATTTCCTATTATATCACTATTCAAAATCAATTCTTCCCCCAAAAATCTATCCCAAACAAGCTCTGAGTGAATGAATGAATCTACCAATAGCAAAGACAGATTTCGCAATTGATACACAGCATTGAGTAAAAGGGTTACCACCAACTTTGTGGTCGATAACTAAGAAAGACCCACCAACCATTATGTAGATTACATCACAAGGCGTTCTTGGATGTTTTTCGAGATGCAACTCACATTGGCGAGGGGATTACTTTGGTAGGTTGCAACCACAAATGCTATTTGCTTGTCAGAACAATGATTCACAGAAATAAAAGGTAATACACTGTGTTACTGCAAGATTGTTTCTTCTATTCCATATGCTCTAAATCTGTGTCTTAATTGATCCTCCTCTAATTTGTTTATCAAGTTCTTCACTGGAAACTGCATGCCTCATTTTAACTTTTCTGAAGCATTCAGTAGTCCGTGTTGGGAATGGGGTTGGACTGCTCAGAGGAGGGTTCAAATAGGCATAGATTAGAACATAGCATTATTCCTGAAAAAATCCCACATTTTTCGCAATTGTTTCCTATTCACCCTGAAAGAGACTAGAAATTTTCAAGAAAACATGTCCATATTCAGATATAAGCTATGCTATAACTCATTTACTGAAAACAGAACATCAAATCAAAAAGTTTCCATTGCACAAGGCAAACTGCCAATCTGAGAACACCATCCGGGCATGAGTGGAATAATTTCCCCTAGAAGGAAACATTTTCGTTGCATAGGTCAACTCTTGAGGCGAGAAATACTTACCAGTAGAATATTTGGTGGTGTCAGACTCTGCATCAACAAAAACAGCACTCAAAATGACTAAAGGTTTCAATAACAATCTGAATTTGATAAGCTATTCTAGCACAAGCTCGAACAATAAGATTTGGCCATTGGCAAAAGAGTGATTAAGTAAATCTCAGGCTTAAAAAATGGTAGGAAAACACTAATCTACGGCGACCAGAATTTGAGATGACAGCTGGTCATAAGGATCTAGAAAATATATCATTATATATGTTTCAACAGCAATATGTTTATGTGTACCATCTAAATAATAGAACCAGAATTACATTGCAAACTGTGTAACATATATCTCAGGGGAAACAACCGGCTATTCATCTTAGATGCTATTTCATTTATTGAAATTTCAGTCATCTAATAAAACATATATACCATGGTAAACACATGTATGCATACGCATGTGTGTGCCGAGTGGGATTAATATTAGCCTCACCAGATCAATAATGGATGGAACACTATCCTTTTTATGCTCCAGCCAGTTTGGACTGCCTAAAAAACAGCCAAAGCAAGCATAAATAAGTAATTTTTTCTCTTTCCCTCTCGTCTTTACTACAATTCTGGTAGGCAGTATTTTAGAAGAGTCCAAACATCATCAGAATATAATGAGTCTCTTGAGAGTCTGTCTCTCGAATCGAAATCTGCTATCCTTTAGCTGTCCCCCACTAAATTTTTGACATCTTTGGCACGTTTAGCAAATGGGAAGAAGCAAGGCAATGTAAATTGTATTATACTATCTTGGTGTCTTCCAATTGATAAAAAAGATAGACGTGTCAAGGTGTCAAAAATTTAGTGGGGGACGGCTTAACAAGGACAACAAATCTCAACTCTTTGTAGTCTCCATGGTGGAGCATCTATATATAGCCAAGGATACTTATAGAAACCACGTTAACTAACAAGAAAAGAAGTGCACTTATGACAGTAAATTGAATTCTCCACTTGTTCTTAATAACATTTCATTGAAAAATTAAATAAAAAGAGCATTCAGGAAATGTAGCATTTCTTAGTTTCATACAAAAATAATAATTCTTTTTAGGATGCCTTTTATCCCTTTCTTCCATCACATCCAAGAGTCAGGAATGAGTGAATCCTAGAATAACAGATTTCCGAGAAT